GGCCGGCTACGAACCGGTGACAATAATCACAGCAGCATTGGGGGCCACTCTTCAGTAAACCCCAAATATTGGGGGGCAATACCCTCGGTTATCGACTCTAACAAGGAAAGAAACTTTATGATTGAAGGGCCTCAATCAATAGGATTTATTCTAAGGGCCAAACGGTCAAATAAACCGTGCCCACATAGACCGCTCGAGCCCTGGCACAAAATATGTATACATGTACAACTATTGTGCACAAGAATATAAAAGAAGATTCTTCCTTGCACATAAACATCTTGTCCTTTGAAATATTTCTTACATCTTTCAAGAAGCTAAATCTATCGAGCCCAAGGGCCACCTTAATACGAGTTAACAAAACCTGAGGGCATGAAGCTTATTTGGCATTGCTCGAATTAAAAGGCTAAGGCCGTTCCGAGTTAATAACACTCGAGGGCATGAAGCTTATTTGTCATTGCCCGAATTAAAAGGCTAAGCCCATTCCGAGTTAATAACACTCGAGGGCGTGAAGCTTATTTGGCATTGCCCGAATTAAAAGGCTAAGGTCGTTCCGAGTTAAAAACACTCGAGGGAGTGAAGCTTATTTGGCATTGCCCGAATTAAAATGCTAAGACCGTTCTGAGTTAATAACACTCGAGGGCATGAAGCTTATTTGGCTTTGCCCGAATTTAAAGGCTAACGCTATTCCGAGTTAATAAAACTCAAAGGCATGAAGCTTATTAGGCACTGCCTGAATTAAAAGGCAAAGGTCGTTCCGAGTTAATAACACTAGAGGGCATGAAGCTTGTTTGGCATTGCCCGAACTAAAAAGGCTACGACCATATTAACACGGTCAGACACGTCTGAGACTCGTAACAAAAATAAGGCCTTCAAAATATTCTTATAACCGGTTCTAAAGGCTACCCCGGGCAAGCTATAAACCTAAATTATTTTGGGGAAACATTTCGGTAATACCGAATCCCTACAATTCCTTAACACAAAGTAACATTAAAGGCAAGGTTTGTTCAAACCTCCGAACATAACCTATTTATTTCATGCTAAGGCATTTCGACTTTTGCGAAGACAAATAAAAAAGCAAAGGAAAAATTCAAAAGTGATGAAACGGAAAAGCCTTATATATATCAAAATTTCTTTACAAGAGCTGAATAGCCCCGATACATATTTTTTACAAAGGCCGAACGGCCTCAACAAAAAGACAATACAAAAAGCAAAAAGATCCTAAATGGCCTAATCTTCATCGGGGGCTACATCATTGCCTACGTGGTCTTCACCACCATCGGACCCACCAAACTCTTCAGACCCCTCGGAATCCTCCTCGGGATAAGAAACTTCCAGGCCTTGGCTTCGCATATCTTGGCATTCTCAATTTCAGCCAATATGTCAAAATTCTAAGCATGGACTCCCTCGAGGGCCTACCTTTGGGATTGCCACCTCGCATGCTTAACCATGTTTCTCGCTTGTTCCCGAATGGCCTCAACATCGGCCTTGAACTGGGCCACTTTATCATCGGCCTCGGTCTAGGCCACGATGACCTCTAACTTGGCCGCCTCAAGCTCCTTGGCCAGGTTCTCTTGACCAGAAACAACCGAGTTCAACTGAGATTGGAGTCCCTCGATCGTATTGAACTGCACAGAGTATTTCTCCTTTATAGCCCGAAGTTGAACCTCAGCCGAAGCCAATTGCGCCCGGGCAGTCTCTTTTTTGAGGTCAGGCGGTCCATATTCTTCTTCCATTCTTCGACCTCAGCCTTCACCGTGTCCACCTCCACCTGGAGCTGCTCGATCTAGTCAAGTCTCTTTTGAACCTGTGGGTTCGGATCGTTAGCCAATGTGTCTGAATCATCATCACTAAGTTCGAATATTCGTCTTACCTGCTAGACCGGATAGGCATGCTCCTTCAGAGCCGCTTCTAACTTGGCCTGAAGCTTCTCGCTAAGAAGCTTGTAAGCATCCTTCTTCTCAGCAAGCTCCCGAGTCTCGACCCAGTGACGCTTGAACTCCTTCCGATATCGAAGAAAGGCCTCGTGATGAAGCACCGAGGCCTGCAAGCACAAAGGAAAATATTACGATTATTCATGATTAAATTTAAGTACATAATGAAGGGACATTCAAAATTACCCCATTCATCGCCTATTGAGCTTCGTTGAACAGGCAGGGAGCTTCCACGGTTCCACCTTGTTCATTCTAGATAGATCTTCTTTGGTCACCAAGCACTGAAGGTAACTGGCAATCCCCACCGGGGAAGAGAGAACTCGGGCGTCCTCCAGAATGGGCATAAAAATTGCTCATCTCCGAGTAGGATCAACACTTAGAGCTGGGAACTGATTCACTAATTTTGGGCTTGAAGAAGACCCGCCAGCTCCCGGGGACGGTATCTTCTTTGGTACCGGTAAGTTGCCCAGCCCGGTGACATCCTCCGAAGCAGTAGAATCCAGGCCATCGAAGAAATTGTGGAAAGAATCGGCTGCTCCTTGGGCCTCTTCGCCGAGTTTACCTTTCAATGTCTAATCCTCGTTTATCATAGAATCGGTAAATGAAGGCGACCCAGAGAGATCGATCACCCCAAGTGCCTCCTTAGGCACATTATCTTCTGACCGAGAAGTACTGGTCACAATCTCTTTTTCGATCTCCCTAGCTTGGGGCAAAATGGTCTTGACCCTCCCTGGTTCGGAGACTTCAGCCACTGCTTCTTATACGGCCTCCATGGCTTGAGGCAGTTCGGAACCGCTTCTCACGCGGGCCACCAATTCAGAATCTTCTTCTTCTTCTTCGGACTCATCCCTCAACCGATGGAGTGAGTTCGATAAAAGTTCCCGGGTGCTGGCATTCTTAGGTTTGCGCGCCAGCCGCTTCCTTGGTCTCTTCTTTTCGGGGCTCGAGGAACTCAGAGCTTTTCTTCTTTTCTTCTCTTTATCCTGCTTCGGAGCAGGGGGATCAACGTATAAGTCGTCATCAGCTGATGGAGGCCTCATTTTGACATCTTTTGGTAAACCTGCAAAAATAAAGTAAAACGATTCAGAGATCGAAGATGTGAAATAAGATCAAATATAACCTAGAGAAAACATTTTTACCATGGCTACGGGCCTCCCATCGGCCCTTCGAGAGCTCATGCCATAAGCTCTTGGAATAAGGTCTCTGTGTCGCAATGCCCTCGACCCACTCCTTGAGTTGAGAAATGGCATCCGGCATCTGGGCAACAGCTGTATCATCACATAACATCGATGGGAAGGGAGGGAAAAGAAAAGCAATAAAAGAAATCTTGGAGGCGAGCTTGATTAATCCCCCTCGGTAAAGTCGAGGGCTATACAGGCGCATGAGGTGGTCGATGGTAAATGGACACCCCTCGAGCTTGCTCACAAAGAAATGAATCAGAATAACAATCCTCCAAATGAAGGATGGATCTGCCCGAGCGTCACTTCATATCTTTAGCAAAAGGCTATGATAACTGGGTCTAAAGGACCCAACGTGAAAGGGTCAGTGTAAACACTTAAAAAACCCTCCACGTAGGTGTGATCGATTCCTCGGGGGTAGGACCACTACTAGTTTATCTTCCTAGTTGTAGTCCTCTTTGACCTTATCGAGGATGCTGGCAGTAATAGTACATATGTACCTCGAGACCGGCTCGCACCGACTTGGTACCAAGGGGGTTTTCTCGATCTTGAAGTCGGCCCCGGTTGGGCACCCCGAAGGGACATACGACTTTAGAGCGGGTTCCGGTGTTGGTTCCTCAGTAGTAGCAGGCAAAACATTTTCAGATGGTTTCAAGGAAGAAGGGGTTTCTTTTTTAAGAACAAATTTTGAAGTCTTTGCCATTTCTTCTAAATAGAGAAGAGAAGAAGATATTGGTAAAGGAGGAGTTGTAACTAGCAGGAAACTTATGAAGAAATTTCAAAGAACTAACAAGGAAGGAAGTTCTTAAACTTAAAGCCAGAAAACCAGAATATGAGGATGAATAAGTTTTCTTGAAACGCAAGAGCAAGAGTTGGAATGGAAAAGGTTCTAATGAATGGATTGAAGGGTATTTATAGTTTTTCCAAACAACGTTTCACATCACGGCGGTTCACATCCCAAGATGGCCGACTGTTAATTGACACACATTTAATGCCTTGAAGACTGGACCGAGGGACGTTCAATTACTTTTTGTCGCTTATGTTTTGTCGCTTACGTCATGATTGATCGAAGTAAGAATCGAGAGCTCATATCATTTCTCGTCACCGAGTCTCCAAAAAATGAGGGGACTATCTGTATAGGGGTAAAACTGAGCTCGATGTTCGATCTAGCTTCCGAAATGATAGGCCAGGATCGATAAATCTGTAATTGGGTAAAAGTTGATGTTCGAAGCTCGATCTAACGTTTCACACAGTCAGCCAAGATCGGAATATGATATTTAAGATCGGACCCAAAGCATTGTCAAAACTAGCCATCGAAACCATCAGATTGGCCCTCGAGTTTATCGAAGGCATAACCGGTCTTATTTCTAACGGTCTCGAAGAAAGCTTTGTCAACCCATCCGGCAGAGATCCTTAATTCTCGCCATTAACCGGTCATTATGGCAGAAATCACGAAACAAGTCAAAAAAGGAACCAACGGTCATCAAAATCAAGGACATTTGCCTTTTATGGAACAATAAAATAATGCCTTAAAAGGTAGGCCTCCCTTAATATATAAAGAGGACTTGACAATTCATAAAACAGATTGTAATATATACTGATAAGCAATACATTTTTTAAGTTCTTACTCTTTGATATTTTGGTGTCAAATAAAGTGCATTCATTTCAAGGATGGCCTACTTTCCTAAGCCGAAATCATCCAACTCACGCGGTTTACAATTAATCTATCATTATTTATTTCAATTGCAATCTAATTTATCGCTTTGTATCAAGTTAATCCACATGTCCTTATAACTACTAACAAATTCAATTGTTATCCAATTTTGAGTGTAAACACATATTAAAAAAAAAACTAATAATTTACTACAGTTAGAAATTAAGATTAATGAAATTAATAACCTGATAATACTGTTTGTATGCTATCCATGACGATGGAAAGGCAGAGAAGAGGAGTCAGTTCCGTGATAAGAGTGATGACTTCTTTTTCATTTGTGAAAGCATATCCCCATACACTACGGCAGCTAAAAAGAATTGCACTTGCTAGCAGGAATTCTGCAGTTGCTAGAACGAAGACTGCAAAGATCGAAAGTCTAGCTGCTTTTGGATTTCCAGCTCCTAATTCGTAACAAAATGGTAATGAGTAAATTTAAGAATGCCACTTGTACCATACTAATCTGTACATCAAAAAGTCATTGTTAGGAAGTATGTTGAAGAGATAACCTTGCAGCAGCACCGAGAGAAAACGGAAAATGGAAATGTATTTGAGAGGTTGTAAGGCTGCACCAGAAGAAATTTAAACAATAGTATAAGTTATGAATTGTCTAGTTATGTGTGGATCAAGAGTGAATGGTTCCATGATTTGCGTACCAAATAGATAGGACAGAAGTCTCTAGCATGTGGATTTGGCAGCAAACCACTGAGCAATGTAATCAGCTCAACTGCCCACCATCTCAAACTATACAAAGAAGATTATAAGTACTTAATAAATCAGACCTTAGATGTGATAAACAAAGCGAAGATAAAAGCTAACAGTTAAATTACCAAACCATTCCAGCAGATGGAACAGTAAATTGGAAGAATTCTGGCAAAATAAGGAATACATCCTTTGAGAAATAGGGACGTATCTTTTGACATGCTGTCGAATACTTTAAGTAAATCACGAGTAAAATCACGTTCAACCAATATGATGAACCAATCGCCATAGCTGCTCCATTGGCCCCTAACTCAAAGCCCAACTGAGTGGTATGTTAAAGAGTAGAGACGCTACCGATCGAGGTCCATACCATTGGAATGATCAAACTCTGAGTCTGGAAATAGCAAACAAGTGACTGAAGAATAGCATAGGGAAATAGAGTTAAGATGAGACAAATCGAGTATTTTTCATGTCACGACCCCAAATTTTCTTCCGTAGGATGTTGTGATGGCACCTAGTCTCTAAGACTAGGTAAGCCTATCAATGCGGAATAACAATAGAAATATGAAATAAATAAACTTTAATTCAAATAATTACAACTCCCAAAACCCGGTAGAAATAAGTCACAAGCTTCTAAGAATTTATTCTCTATATCTCTATACATCAGAGTCTAAAGCAAATAAGGAAGATACCATAATAAGATAGAAGGGGACTCCGGAGTCTGCGGACGCTGGCAGATATACCTCGAAGTCTCCTCGTACAGCTACATTACTGATGCTTGATCTGATAAGATGTACCTAGATCTGCACAAAAAGATGTGCAGAAGCGTAGTATGAGTACACCATAGCGGTACCCAGTAAATGCCAAGCCTAACCTTGGTAGAGTAGTGATGAGGTCAGGTCAGGCCCTACTGGAATAATAAAAGACAAGGTGAAATGTTTAACAATATAATAAAAATGAAATGACAATGGAAATGAATCAAGTAAGTAGTATGTCACCAATTAACTACGCAAAAATAATCGCAAATAATACCTCGTGGAAACAAAAAAAAATTCTTTTCAACTTTAAGAAAATCATAACAATAATCAAAGGCAACTGTGGCCATAAATCAATATCAACAAGGGCACTCCCGAGGTACCGCCTCGTAGTCCCAAATCATAAATAAATTCAAAATATCTCATTTTCTTATATCACTACGGGAGCCTTCACATTTAATTTTAAAGAAAAATATTTTTCTCGAAATAGCATCACGCGTTTTAGCCACCCTTATCACACCGTATGACTTCTAGTAGTTCCCCTACTAGCCACGCGTATCAAGCCACTCTTATCTCATTGCATGCGTTTCAATACCCAGACCTTATACCACCGCATGCGTATCAATATCACAATATATCACAATTTGCACTTTAAGTGCCCAAAATATTTCAATTTGCTAAAATAAACAACATCAACAATATTTTCCACAATAGGGAGCTCACGACTCAATCACAATGAGTACAAAAAATCTCACAAAATATTCGGGAATTAAATAACTCAGCAAAAATAATATTTAAAAAATTTTAATACGTTGCCTTAGTTCCAAATTTAAAATATCAAATACTTCATATTAATAATATTTAAATTAAATAAATTTCACCTTCAAATAATGCACAGAATAAAAGAAATCAAGTTTCAGCTAAACATGTAAAAACAATTAGCAGGAGAAAGTCAAGCAAATTTAAAGTATATAAATCAGATCAATGATGGAGAATATAACAAGATTTAATAATTTAATTAATATGCAACAGTGATCTACACAATTTAAAATATAATCTTTCACATTTAGCCCGTGTACACACTCGTCACCTCGTGTACACGACTTTCATCATATTACAATTATCACATCAATACCAATTCTAGAAAAACTTTTCCCCACAAAAGGTTAGACAAGTCACTTACCTCGACTTGCTCCAATTTAATCAAGTAGTATGCCTTTTCGTTGATTTTTCAACTCCAGTCGACCCGAATCTAGTCATAATAATTTGATACAGTCAACAAAAATTATAGGAATCAATTTCATAAGAAAATACTATATTTTTTTAATAAAAATCCAAAATTAACTCAAACATACACGACTCAAAATCCGGTGAAACTCACAAAATCCGACAACCCATTCAATTACGAGTCTAACTATACCAGTTTCACTCAAGTCCAACTCTCAATCGATACCGAAATCTCAAAAATTCGTTTCTATGAGATTTCTAATTTTTTTTCTAAATTTTCATCTCAATACACTAATTAAATGATGGAAACAATGATATATTCGTGTATATTGACCAAATCCGAGTTAGAATCACTTACACAAATATTTTTCCTTGAACATTTATCAAAAATCGTCTCTCCTCAAGGTCCAATTCGTCAAAAATGGCAAATGAGACGAAGTCCCCCATTTTATAATTCTGTCCAGGCAGCCCTCGGTGCTGCATCGATCCTGGGCCTCGATCATGGCCCTCGATTATGGAATTTGATCATGGCCCTCGATCCTGAGCCTTCGATCATAGCCCTCGATCCTGAGCCTGGATCATGGCCCTCGATCCTGAGCCTTGACCCTGGCTTCGATCCTGGCCATCGACCCTGGCCCTCGACCCTGGCCTTCGACCCTAGGCTCGATTTCTGGGCTTCGATCCTGGGCTCAATTTTTGGGCTTCGATTTCTGCATTTCCAGCAGAAGAAAATTGCAGCAGCTTTTTAAGTCCAACTTTTGATCCGTTAACCATCTGAAACTCACCCGAGACCCTCAGGATCTCAGCCAAATATACCAACAAGTCCTAAAACATCATACGAACTTATTTGAAAACTCAAATCACATCAAACAATGCTAAAATCGCAATTCACACCCCAATTCAAGCTTAATGAAACTTAAGAATTTTTAATTTCTACATTCAATGCCAAAACCTATCAAATCAAGTCTGATTGGCCTCAAATTTTGCACAAAAGTCAGAAATGACATAATGGAGCTATAAAAATTTTCAGAACTGGATTACAATCCTGATATCAAAAAGTCAACTCCCCGGTCAAACTTCCAAACTTAAATTTCCTATTTTAGCCATTTCAAGCCTAATTTAACTAGGGACTTCCAAATAAAAATCCGAACACACTCTTAAGCCCAAAATCACCATACAGAGCTGTTGGAATCATCAAAATTTTATTCCAGGGTCGTTTGTACATAAGTCAGAATTCGGTCACTATTTGAACTTAAGCTTTAAAATTTGGAACTAAGTATTCCAATTCATTCCAAAACCTCTCCAGACCTAAACCAATTACTCCGGCAAGTCATATATCATTTATAAAGTACAGAATGAGCAGTAAATAGGGGAATGGGGCTACAACTTTTAAAACGACTGGTCGGGTCGTTACATCACCCCCTCTTAAAACAATCGTTCGTCCTCGAACGAGCATAGAGACATACCTGAAGTGGTGAAAAGATGAGGATAATGGTTGCGCATATCCTGTTCGGTCTCCCAAGTCTCCTCTTCGACCGGATGACCCCTCCACCGAACCTTCACGGAAGCAATGTTCTTTAACCTCAACTTTTGAACCTGCCTGTCCAAAATAGCTACTGGTTCCTCAACATAAGATAGATCCTTATCCAACCGAACTAAACTGAAGTCTAACATATGATACGGATCGCCGTGATACTTCCGGAGCATAGAAATATGGAATACCAGATGAACTGCAGAGAGACTAGGTGGTAGTGCAAGTCTGTAAGCCACCTCTCCAACTCTCTCAAGAATATCAAAAGGTCCGATATACCTCGGGCTCAACTTGCCCTTCTTTTCGAACCTCATAACACCCTTCATAGGCGAAACCCGGAGTAAGACTCGCTCACCAACCATGAGTGCAACATCACGAACCTTCCGATCCGCATAACTCCTCTGTCTAGTTTGGGATATACGAAGTCGATCCTGAATCAATTCAACCTTTTCCAAGGCATCCTGAACCAAGTCTGTACCCAATAGTCTAGCTTCGCCCAGTTCGAACCAACCCACTGGAGACCGGCACCGCCTACCATATAAGGCCTCATACGAAGCCATCTGAATACTCGACTGGTAACTGTTGTTGTAAGCAAACTCTGTAAGTGGTAAGAACTGATCCCAAGCACCCCCAAAATCTATCACACACACACACGAAGCATATCCTCCAATATCTGAATAGTGCGTTCGGACTGCCCGTCTGTCTGAGGGTGAAATATTGTACTCAACTCCACATGAGTACCCAACTTTCACTGTACAGCCCTCCAAAATCATGAGGTAAACTGTGTACCCCGGTCAGAGATGATAGATACCGGTACGCCATGAAGTCTAACAATCTCGCGAATATAGACTTGAGCCAACTGCTCGGAAGAAT